TTCAGAATTTATGGCAGAACTAGCATTGGTTTTAGCAAGCTTTTAGCTTTACCTAATAAATAGTAGAACTGAATGTGCTTGTTCCGACTAAAAGAACCACTTCATGTCGATATCTTTTGTCTCTAACAGACAGAAATGCTGGCCTCAACTCCAGAACAAGTTGCTGTAACAGGAACCTCAGCCCCAGGCTTTCCTCTCAGTAATAACTCAACCTTCCTGGACTCCGAGTTTCGTTATGTCCTTTTACCAGTTGTCTATGGCATTGTCTTCATCCTGGGCCTCTTTGCTAACATCTACGTGCTGTTTGTCCTGCGCTGCCTCCGTGATGCCAAGGCCATGGGCGAAATCCGCATCTACATGACAAACTTGACCATCGCCGATCTCCTTTTTGTGTGTGCCCTTCCCTTTTGGATTGGCTATTACAGTCGCCATGGTAACTGGGTCTACACAGACTTCATGTGCCGGCTGACTGGCTCGTTGTTCTTCATCAACACCTACTGCTCCATCCTCTTCCTCGGAGCCATCAGCGTCAACCGATACTGGGCAATCACTCGACCTCTGGATGCGGCCTCTTCAGACCACAGACGTCGTGGGATCATCGTGTGCGTTGTCATCTGGGTGTTGACCTTGTCCATGGCTATTCCATTTCTGACATCTGCAGGGACAAACACTGATAAGAATGTTACCCGCTGTTTTGAGGGGTACCAGAATGAAACCGATTCACAGAAGAAAACAGTGGCTGGTACTCATTTTTCAATAATTGGAATGTTTTTTGTTGTGTTTTTCCTTGTCGTGGTGTGTAATTTCCTTATTGCTCGAGCGTTACTTTTGCAAAATCCTCCCCAGTCAGAATTCAGGTCTACGACAATTATGTCTAGAAAGTCCAACAATACCATGTCGTCCTTATTTAGAAGGCCAAGGGGGGTGAAACGGAGAGCTCTGCAGATGTTGTGGGCAGTGGTGGGAGTGTTTGTTCTGTGTTTTCTGCCCCACCATGTAATTCAAGGCCCCTGGACACTGGCGGTGTTGCAGATCAATCAGGGTTGGGGCCACGTAGAGTGGGACCAGAAGACTCGTCAGTTGCTCAACGACGCACATCAGATCACCTTGTGTCTGATGGGCCTTAACTGCATTTTGGATCCTGTAGTTTATTGTTTCGCTACAAGGAAGTTTAGAAGGTTCATCATGGCCCACATTAAAAAGCTAAGAAAGGGAGATGGGTGTTCACAGACGGTCACCTCACAGCTCTCCATGCACAGCAGGAATCAGAGCGTGCACCAAGAGCCTGAGATGGATTGATTTAAACATACGGAACATTTGCAGAAAAATGTAGATATATGTTACTTGTGTTTGAAACACTTTTCTCATGTTGTCGCTCATAAAAAATGACATATACAGTATTGTGTTGCACCTCTGGAACTGTAGTTTATCTATGTAATTTAGTGTTGGTGGCTCCACATCTTCAGATTCTCTTTTAAGAAAGTTTTATGTTTTAGTGTCTTTATCAGTCTGTGAAATCAACTGATGAGACACCAGACAATGTAAATCATCCCACGGGTCGGGTTTGTTCTGCCCAAAATAGGACAAAAACAACAAATACGCTTGTATACCAAGCCTAATCATCTCTTTTTGGGAGTTAAGAGTAGACCATGCCCAAAGTAGGACATTAAAAACACATACACATGTTTATAGAGCCTAACAATCTCTTTTTGGGAATTTCGAGTGGATAATTCCCCTATTCCCTTCCCACACACACGCAAAAAAATATATAAACAAGTAGGGAAACATCAGCCCGTCAACAGTACACATGATTTGAGACTGTTGAAATGTACGACCAGAGTAAGAATAGCCTTTTAAGAATAGCCTTCACCCAACTAAAACCACAGATCTGTGGGGTTTACTACATTTAGACTGTGTTAGATAACTTGTGTAAAATTAGATGAATTCAAACAAACATCCATCTCCATGGCAATGGCTGCTAAAATGCAGATGGACGCATGGATGGATGTAAAGTGGATGGACACTGTTTTTTTTGTGTGAACCATATCATCCCTGCCTTGTTGCTGCTGTAAATTCAAAAGATGCACTGCAGAATTATTTCCTGGGTGTACACGTATATGTATATAAATAACTGTATATATTGGTTTATTTTATTCTATTCTATTTATCCTTCATGATATTCTATGAATTTGATCATCTTTTTCTGCGTGCAGCATGAAGAAATACAACCTTTCATTTTGTTATAGAACCTTGTGTTGTATAATGATGAATACATTTCCTTAATTCGTTGATTCGTTGATTCGTTGATACTTTCAGGTAACCCACACACTGACAAATGAAGTGAATTAGTTAACTCAGGTTCGGGAGCATGGCCACACTTCAACTACACCTCAATAACCCTAACCCTAACCCTAACCTGTCAAACCTACTTTTACCAGGTCAACCAATGCTGTCCTACTTGTCTGCATTTTCTCAACAACAGTCATCATGCTTTGCACTTCAATCGCACGCTTGCATAAATCTAAAAAGTAAGCCTACACAAGTGCTCAGACTACAAAATATTTAAGTCTGTTAAAATTGTCACTGTGTCAGATTAGATGACGTGTGTGATGTCACTGGGTAGGAGGTGAAAGGGACAGACTTTCAGGAGCAAGAAGGTAAACAAATAATGGCATCAGAAGCAGTGTGTAGGATACTGGCTGTCTTGTGTTTCGAAAAGTCTATTAGAAAAAAGGAGAAACCATGTGAACTCTGCGCTGTTTCATCAATCAATTCAGATCTCTTCAGTTCCAGATCCATCTCAGTCTTCTCCTCCATCCTTGAGTCCCAAAAATTGCGGTCGGCATAGGCATAGCCTTTGGAGCTGACTCCAACCCACTCTTCATCTGCTGTCTCCCTCATGCACAGTTTTTGGCAAAAAATTGGACTAAATTACAGGTTTTCATTAACATTTACAAAGAAAAAGCGAGAAGGGCCTCTTACTGTTTGGTGGGAACTGTTTCACCTCAGCTAGAACCACAGATCTGTGGGTTTTACTACATTTAGATTGTGTTAAATAACTGTATATGCAAATCTCATCTATCAGATTAAAGGCGATATTGAGCTCTATATGCTGATATGACCTAACTTTAGTCTGCTCGTCATCTTTTTATTACACATCTCCACCCTCCTACAGATGTTCATGACAGACTTGAGTACACATTATTGGCTTTCATATTGGTGGGGTCCAGATCAGGGTAGGTTTGGTTGGTGTAATTCATGTACACATCTCTGTCTGTGGCAAACCTCCCCTGTGATCAGACTGTTAATACAGTATATACAGGATGTGAACAAATTGCAGACACCAACATAAATATACTGTTTTTGCTGTTTTATTAGTCTCTTTCTCCCCCATGTGGGTAGAATGCATTACTGCACACTTAGAATAAGAACACGTTATACTAGATATGGTTTTACACGGGCTCAGAGAACCACACAAGAAATCTAGTGTTAGCTCGGTATATTATGTATTTATAAGTACATATCCAGCTGTGGAGTAGACTATTCCTCATCCTAAAATACATTCCTTGACAAAAATCATGAAAGTATTCTTATCTTTTGTAGTCTGACCTGTGGTTTTGTGGCACCAGTGGAAGTCGTCATATAATATTAATAATGAAGACACCCAGGGTAATAAAATACATATAGTATAGTTGCAGTGCTGGCAGGTATATTGATATGCATTTTTTGTAAATTGCCATTAGTAATAGTAGTAGTAGTGTTATAAACATATATATCTTATATATATTTAAGCTGATGTATCAATATGTGTATAAACAACCTATTTTCTACAACTACATTTGTGTGTGTCTGTATACATGTGTATGTTTCCTTTTGTTTTCTTTTTTTAATCTCTTAAACTGAAATGTTTATATAGCATATTCCACTGATAACTAAACATCTTTCAATAAAACTTCATGTTAATGTCCATATTGGAAGTAGTCGTGAATTGAAAACTGCGCAAATTGTAGATTTGATGGATTAAGAACAAGCATGGGAAGCTATATGGTGTATAAGTGTGTTGCACCATGCTGGGGTTTCCTAAGACTGCAAGAAAATCACACCTCCTTTTTCCTGACCTTTGAAACACTCCCACTGACACTTAAACACGCCTATTCAGTGTTACCGTACTTTATAGCAACTGTGGCATTCACAGTGTTCACATCTTGAGACTTATTAGAGGACAGGAAGCAGTCTGGTAAGTCAAAAGCCTGTAAGTTGCTCTTTTAGTATTTTCCTCTTTAAAAAAAAGTTACAACATATTAAGGCGGGCGAGCCAATTTTAAACTGTGAAGCTGAAGTATGACTTGAATATTAG